TGGGAAGGGAAAAGAAGCCCACATTGGCCCTGTACTCCCCTTTTCTCCACTCTCTTCCTCTCCTTTCTCTGGCCCATCCCAACACCCTTATTTATCTGCACTCCTCCCCCCGAGTTTCCTCCCCTTTTTCGCCCATTTCTTCTTTCCCTTCATGTACTTTCTCTGACTCCCTAGTGAAGGGTTTCCCAGTGCTTTTCCATGTGCCGAAACCCGTGCTAGGCACTGGAGATGCAAAAACGGATGAGATTTGTACCCTGTGCTTGAAGAGTCCTCCGTGTGGTTGGGATGCATAACAGTACTTCATGTCACCTAGGAATCCCAGGTCAGGGTACTGAGGGCCTCACCGAGGAAGTTACTGACAGGAAGGCAGTGGAAGCTTCCAGATGAGGTATGTTTGAGCTGAGTGCTGTGGGAGACGGACATTTGCCGAAGGGAAGGGGAGAAGGAGCAGTCCTGGAGGCCTGCAGGCTCAGAGGAGCCCCTTCTGAGTGTAGGGGCACGTGACTCAGACGTGGATGGGTCTCTGCCCTAGTGTGCCTGCTCCACTCCACTCCATTCTCACAGAGGCTCTCACAGCTATGTTTCAAAGCACAAAGCTGACCATGCCTACAGCCCCCAAGGGACCTCTGGCCTGCAGGCTTAAATCCAAGCTCCTCAGCCTGTTGTTCAAGGACTTCCTGTCACAGTGGACTGCTCACCTTCCCCCAAACATGTCCTGCCTTCTGTCATTGCCATACCTTTGCTCAAGCTGTTCCTCTACCTGGAATGTCTTTGTTCCCCACGCCCACCTGTAAAAGGCCTGCCCTCCTGAGAGGATTAATTCAAATGCTGCTTTCTGCAAGAAGCCTCAGGTCACCCCACGTTAACTAGTCTTTCCTTCCCCCTTACTCTTTTGCATGGTGCTGTCGGAGCACTTAACAAACTAGGTGAGAGCTCTCTGTTTACTGGTTTACTCTCTGTCCTACCTGGTGGATTCTGAGCTCTTTGAGAGCCTTATCATGCAGATCTGGTTCATTTCTGAGACCCCCAAAGCTCGTCCTGCTTCACGGCGTGAGCATCAGGAAATGTTTATTAGTTGAATGAACGAAACATTGCATTACCTCTTTGCCTATTATCCCCCTTTCCTTTCCCTCCCTCCTCTCTGGTTTTTCACCTTCACAAATGGGAAATATGGCCTAGAGAAGGCATAAATTTAGATTCTTTGTCGGGATACAGAAAAATGTAATAACATTGGACTACGATTCAGCAAGCCCATACTAGTTCTGACTCACTGTTTGACTCTTAGTGATTGGTTTTACTCCCTGGATCTCAGTTTCTTTATCTCTTCAGTGGAGTGGGGCAGGAAAAGTGTTGGAGTTTATAATAAAATAAAATAGTGGAAAGAAAACCAGCTTAGGAGCCAAACAGCCCTGGGTTTAAATCCTAGCTCCCCACTAATTAACTGTAAAAGTTACTTACTATCTTTGAACTTCAGTTTCCTCATTTGTAAAATGGAAATGGTGATTTCCACTTTGCAGGATTGTTGCAAACAGTAAATGATCTGGTAGCCAAAATTTGAATGTTTATAAGCACATTATGTAGGTACAAATTATACCTTCTTCTACCTCTAAAATCTCTCCCAGGAAGGACATGTTTTTTTGTTACTGAGAACTTCCCAAATTCTTCACCAATGTTCCCTGCTTTCAGTATTTAATTTAGGTCAGTATCGACGAGAGGCAGTGAGCTACAAGAACTACGAATTCTTTCTCCCAGACAATACGGAGGCCCAACTTATCAGGAAGTAAGTACCTAATATTTTAGGGAACTGTGCTGCCCCCTGGCTGAGGGAAGGCTTTGTTCAGATGATGAGGGACTGAGACAGAGCCACTAGGGTTAGCAAGGAGGCCCTCTAGACTTTCAAAGGATGGTTCAGACAGCCCTTTTACTATGTTACCCAAAGCCTGTTTCTAGTCATAGCCATCCCCTGCTTAAGAACTTTAAACAGGCTCTTACTTCTAACAGGAAAGAATGGAAACTTCTCAGTCTAGCATTTGAGACAAGAGTCTCAATACTTTGGCATACTTCAGTCTCTCCCAACTCATTTATTCAACCTCAAAGTCTCCTCTGCAAGACTGAGCACATTCAGAAGAGAGCCTGTGTCTCATTTACTGATCCATGCCCTCATAATAGAACCTTGAAAAGAGTAATCACTAAATAGATTTTTACCAAAACCATAAATACATTGCCAATGTCATACCTGTGCTTTGCACTGTTACCCATGTCAGTAATGCCTTCTACTTCACGAACCATATACTCAGACTTTAATTGGGTTCAAGAACCAGTTCAGCTTGAGCTCTATTAGCTCAAGGGTTGGAACCTTTATTTAATATTATGGCTTCTGTCATTATACAATTTTGGGTATGCCACTTTATTCCTGCCCCTAAGATGTACACACAGAGTTGTTTTCACCTATGCTTGTCATGATGCCTAGAACATAGGATATCTTGTGTAGATGTTTAATAGGTGAATAATTTAATCTAGGACATCTGAGAGATGGTGCAAAAGATACTACAGAAAAAAAATTGAGAGGAACCAATCTTGAGGATAGGCCTTTTCTATTTCTTTCTCCATCTTTTCCAGGAGGTTTGCTCTGGCAGCCCTGAAGGATGTCCATGATTATCTCAGCCATGGGGAAGGTCATGTTGCGGTAAAGATCTGCATTGTTCCCTAGGGTTTCTGCTGGGATGGAGAACAGCTCATACACATTGAGCATTTACTGTTCCACACATTATTCTAAGTGCTTTGTACATATTAATTTAATTCCACCTTACCTCATGAGATGAGTATTGTTATTATGCCCCATTTTATATCCTAGAAGAATGACACATAGAGAGATTAAATAATTTCCCAAAATGGCACAGTATATAATGTGTCAGGACAGAACTGAAATCCAGGTTGTGTATCTCCTGAATCTACACTGTTAACTACTATACCTACCACTCAACTAGAATTTAAAACTACAGTTAAACATTTTTGAGTTCTGAGATTTACCTAAACATCTTAGTAAATTTAATCTCATAGACTTTTGAGATAGGATTTGCAAGTTCTAAAAGGAGAAAAGATCCTCAAATATGCAAATTGTCCCATCTAAGGTGCTGGGGATAGGGAGTTGCTTCCTATTCTTAAAAAGCTCCAAAGTGATAGGGAAGGAAGAATCCTCACCTAGGAGTTGAGAAACCAGTTCTAGCTCTGTTGTCAGCAACTCTTGGTGACCTTGGTTAAGGCAAATCCTTCCTCTAAGGCTCAGCTACTTCCCATGTATAATAACCCTAATAAAAACCTACAATTTGTCTCTTGTCTTATTATACCTACAGAGTCTGCTACATGTTGGGGTACATAGCGGGGCTCAGTGAGTACTTGAAAAATTGGTATAGGCCAGTTCCAAATCCTTCCTATCTTTCATCACCCAGTCCAAGTTCTACCCCCTCCTGGTAGCACTTCACTTAGCTAAACACAGGGATGGTCAAAGAGTAGGCATTCTATCAGCACCATACTCACAGTAAACCAATCTCATCATCTGCCTCTAGGTTTTTGATGCCACCAACACTACTAGAGAACGACGGTCACTGATTTTGCAGTTTGCTAAGGAACATGGTTACAAGGTACAGTAACACTGCCACTCTTATCTAGAGCCTACTGATCCAGCACAAATCCCAAAGAAAGGCAAACCAGAGGACTCATAGATCCCAACTCAGCTACCATAGACTCAACATTTTAATTTGGTTAAGCTGGCTTTCCAGATCATGGTTAGAAGCAGCAAAACAGAACAGAACAGGAAAGGAGAGGTGCCTTGTTA